AAGAGCGATCCCTAGAGTTTCTTGCTCGTTCTTCCCAAGGAGGTCAGCGTAGAGAACGAGCAGTTAAATGTGACGTTTTCAAGTGTAAATTTATTTTACCTATGGAATAAATTAACTTTGACTTTGACTTTGAGCTAATACAATACCTATTATTTCGTGTTGTTTTCTAATTATTAGTTTTGATCATAGATCATAGAGCTTGACAGCTCAAATTGGGTGGAGTCACAGAGGGAGTCACGCTGTTGTCGTTTGAATCTATCTTATACATTTAAAAAGAGTGAAGTTGATGGTTAATGTTTTATAAACGAACGCGCATTGACAAGTAATGTTTTTTGCGTGAGCTACTTGGAAAGGCAACAATCAAACGCGGCCGCTCCCTGTGAATTCACCGCGTGACATTTAAAATCCGTTTTAATCTGACCCATCTTATAATAATAATAATAATAATAATTCATTTATTGCATGTCACATACATAGCTAATTTAAGATGTTAAATTTGGCGTTGGGCAGATAACATGTGACGCCCTGCAAGGGCATGGCAACTGCAGAAAACCGAGTTCATACTTATAATTACAGAATACGTCGTTTATAATATTACAATAGCTACATTATTAATTTTTACAATGTCATTCTTTACTTTACTAGTCTTGTTACTATATTGAATTAAACTTATACATTTAATAGTTATTAATTAATTAATTATAATAAAATTAATCATCTTATCGAGTCGTCAGAGATAAAAAGAGAAAATGAAATAATAATAATAATCTTTTAAACAGTAATAAATGAAATATATATTGATTATGAATTCTTATTCTAATTATTAATTAAGTTACCTAAAGGTCAAATCATTTAATCATTTAATCTGGTTGTCAAAAAATTCTTTTAAATTATAATAAGGTTTATTGATGAGGAATGTTTTCAATGCCTTACAAAATTGTGTCAATCTTTCCAGGTTTTTTATACTATTTGGTATGTGGTTGTAAATTCTGATCAACATATTTGGGGGGCCAGAGGCAACTAATTCCATCCTGGGAAAGGGTACTCTAAGTTTATTTAGGTTTCGGTCGTGTCTCTTATTATTATTATTTAGGGGTGAGAAGAGTTGAGGGTGCTTTCTGACGAATTTACATGACTCGAGAATATAGATGGAGGTAAGTGTCAGTATTTGGTTCTTGACGAAGTGAGGTCGACAGGATACCATTTGGTCAATATTACTTATTATTCTTACTTTTTTTTTTATTCTTCTGTACTTTCAAACCAATTATTGTGAAAAATGGATAAACGAATCAATGACAATCAACTAACGTTATTATTACACTGCCCGCTGGACTAAATTGACAATAAAGAGTAACTAGGCCAAAATTAATAATCAAAAAACATTTCTTATTTAATTCCCGACTAAATTAGTGATTAGCGTGTTATTATTATTATTTATTTATTTAAACACTTTATTGTACCACAAAGTAACTTACAAATTTTCAGAAACAATTTAAATATTTGTGTACAAAGGCGAGCTTATCCCATAAAGAGATTTCTTCCAACTAACCTTTGAAAATCTGAGAGGAAAGTTGGTTTTTGGGGTGGCACTAAAAATAGATAAGTAAAGAAATGAAATATACTATACTCAATAAATACACAGATAAATTTAATAAATCAACTGTACATACGAATATATATATATTAAGTAATGTTGATACATTAATACATACAAAGTCTATAATAAATTGAATGTACAAAATAAAACTATAAATAAATATATCAAAAGTAAATAAATATTTCAAAAGCTCTAACATGTGGAGTCTGAACAATCCCAAAACTTCAAAAGAGCACCCTTGAAAACCCGAACCGAAGGCGACTGTCTGACCTCGACCGGGAGAAGGTTCCACATACGGGCAGCATTTACTGTGAACGAGTTCGAATATTTTTGGGAACTGTGTTGTGGAAGGACGAGGGACAAATTGGTGCCAGAACGCAGGCGGTCACCCATAGCCTGACGGTATTGAAAACGCTCACGTAGATAGCTAGGTGAAGTGGGATGGAAGAGGATTTTATAGAGGAAGCATAAAATGTGAGCATTTCTACGTAAACGAATAGGCAACAACTTCAACTCATCATCAGCGTGTTTCCCTCAACGTTTCGCGTACGGTTAAATTCCGACATAGTACATTGACGCATTTATTCATAGCGTTATATTATTAGCATTGAATGATTATAATGACTCTTGTAAAATGTTATTAAACTCAGTGATGTAGGTAAGTTTTTATTGTAATAATACGCAACGCATTTGTTGCATATCTGCTCTTCTGCGGTTTGTTTACACACAAATTTAAATTATTTAACTCTAAATATGCAAACTGTTTGTCTTGAGTTAGTTTAGACGTTCATTCGCAACATTATGTTCTCTCGTATTCGTTTTTCAAGGTTCATTTATTCACTGCATTAGTTCCCCTCTTTCAAACTTACTTGAAAGTTTATAAAGGCAGCAAACGTGAGCGATGCAAGCGAGGCATCTCTCTGTTGACTTTCGTCGTATTTGCATTTATTAGTGTCAGGCTTATAATGGTTGCTCTGTCACTGAAATAACGTTTTACATAGTTCTCTCTAGGAAATCTGACCCTTTTCTGTGCTTACTTCATAGCCACATTAGTTAGTCTCGAGAAATTTATAAAGAAAATACAGGTAATATTGCAATAAACACGCAATCTTCATTAGTTCTCGTATAGTAACTCCTTCAAAGTCTTAACCAATGCTCAGTAGTCGAACTTTTATGTTGGACATATTTCTATATTCACTTCAGTACCACATTGGGCGCCATAAATAGTCTTGAGAAGTTTACAAAGAAATGCTATAAATCTTCTTCTTAACCCAAATAAATTGTCCTAATTTTACAACAGAGCCAACAAGAGCGGGTAACAATCTGAAATAAACTTACCACTTCAGGGTTTCAATAAAGTTCAATATTTAGATTTTATCAAATTTACAAAATCTCTTTTCAAGTCTGTAGGTCAGCTAGAAATTAAAAGGCTTGATGTTGAATAATAATCCATCTACCCGTTTGTTTCAGCATTGCACCATGAATTTTTCATAAGATTGTGACAGTTCGTTACACCGGGTATTTTTATCTGAAGGACGATTCAACAATTTCTAAGAAGAATGAATCATAATATTTTGTAGCTAATGGTGGATCATTATTCTGAACACTTAAATAAATTACCTAACTGATTGTGAGAAAGAAGATGGTGTGCGATTACTAAAAATAACTAACTTTTCACGGAAAGTGTTAATAATTTACACTGTTCGTGATTCTAAGAGTGGTTACATGCATACAAACGCAACGCATTAACGATGCAGTCGCTTATACCTTTACACACTTCTTTTCTTTTCTTTTTGTTGGAAAGGAGGTACTCTACTCTAAGTATGGCTAATTAGGGGATGAATCCGGTTTATTGGATTTCACCCACTTTTCGTTAACCGATTTGAATAAAACTTGGCAAATAGATATTTTATACTTACGAACTTATGAGTTCGTTTTTTTTATAATTATGAATCGTTATATTTCATGATCATACACCAATAATTGAGATCCTAATCCACAATGCTAATACAGTGATATAATAATAGAGATGAATACCCCAGTTTATTGAAATTCCGTCTTGCAACTTACAATGTGACAACCCTACGTTCGGAGGGACGTGTAGATCACAAACTAATAACAGATGTGTTATTAGTTTGTGATGATTGACGCGACGCCCCGTACAGGCAGGATTTGTATTAGCCACTTGTCTTAAAACTATGATCGTAGTTTCCCATCAATATTCAAACATTTCATTGCTGCGCAAATGTCTTGGTGGTGGTTATAAAATTTAAGTTATAATATATGGAAAGGTAAAGACACATGATGATATGTATATATGATGACATGAGATATTTATTCATTTTTCCTTAAATACAAAAATAATTGCCCATTATTGAAATAATATTAACTATCTGCTCTTTTCTCTTATATGTAATGACAGTTTTAATTACGTATAATAGGTACTTAAATATGCCCAGAGCCCAAAAAACTTTTAATTCACTTTTTATAAATTTTACAAATGTAAATATAAGTCACTTCACCGGGAGTGCGACACGTGTAACGTACTAATTTCCGTATCCAAACATTTTTATCATAAAATATTCATAGAACATTGATATTAAAATATATTTAGCCGCTGGAAATGTCTTTCTATTTTTGAAGCCCAGACATGTACTCAAAATACAGTATATTTCTGGTGAAATTACAAGCACGTGGGACTTGTCAACTTATGTCTCAGAATGAGTGGCGCAGTGACAGTGCCCCTCCGGCCGTTGCGGCTAAAAGCTCTGCGTAGCACTGCAACTGTTATGAACAGGCGTGTCGCTGACCACCAAGTCCACGACTTGTTCGTCAAGTCATTTTGCATTGTAAAAAAATTGTAAAAATATGGCAACTACGCACCATTTACCTTGTCCAACGCATTAGCGTAGCCAGCATCTTGGGCACCTCGCCGCTGGGACTCAATTTTATTCATATAATTTAGTCCTAGTTTTAACTTCTAGTCATATTTAATTTTAGTAGCAGTAGAGCTCCTTGTGACAGAGTTCGTCTAGGGAAGTACTGCCACCTTAGTTATTTCTGCCGCCAAGCACTAATGTCAGCATTACTGTGTTCCTTTTTGAAGGGTAAGGGTGCTGGTGAAATTACAGGCACATGGGACTTGTCAACTTACGTCTCAGGGTGACAGACACAGTGGCAGTGCTCCTCAGATCTTTGCAATTTAAAGCTCTAAGTGACACTGTAACTGTTATGGACAGGCGTGTAGCTTACCATCAGGCGCACGACTAGTTTGCCCCGCCACATGATGTTATAAAAAAACCTGTATATTCCAACTTATTTAAAGCCACTAATTGGAATTAAACCAAAAAATACAGATTTGTAAAAGCTGTTTCTATCCTTATCCACCGCCTGTTTGTTTCAGATACAACGTGACGTTCATGATATTAACATATTTCCTGCCGATAATGTCAATGATGTACACCTACACGAAGGTTGGATTCGAGCTGTGGGGCTCGCAGTCCATCGGGGAGTGCACTCAACGGCAACTGGATAATGTTAAGAGTAAACGGAGGGTAAGAACAGCTGTATTTATGTGAGTATACTTTGCCACGGCTTCCTCAAAGTTAGAACAAATTGAGGTCCTCTAAGATGCGGGCGTTTTGATGACGTCACTACACGTCAAACGTCACTTAATTATTGAAGACAATGCAAGATGCCAGGTAAAGACACACATCATTTCCTCAGCGTCAGATGCAATACCCTTAGGCTCAATTAATATTGCGGCGGAACAGAATGGAAGCGAATTTTTGTAACGATATTGTACCGCTCTTCAAACTATGTAGATATCTGCAAAAGACACCATATAATTCCCCTTGAATTGCGGCGTAAAACAGCAGACATAAACTATCTCATTAAAATTACCACCAATATCGTCGATTGCCCCGAACTTCTGTCCGAGATTCACTTACGGGTTCCAGCTAAGCATTTACGCAACGAGTCACTAATTCATTTATCTGTCGCTTTACAAAATTACAAACGGAATTCGTTTATATGGCGTGCGAGCAATAATTTTGACAAAGTTTCCGATCTTTAAGATTTTGATTTGATTAACACAAACTGTGCGTACGTTAAGAAGGTATTATCTAATTCATTTTTTATTACTAAAGTAATCTGATTTGCGTAATGTTACATTGCTTCTATAATGTGTCATGTGTGTGTGTACAATGTCGTTTAATTGTTTAGTGTTGTCAATGCTGTATTTTACTATTGTATTTTTATCAGTAGGGAACTGTTTTTGCTTATAATTATTTAATATAGTTTCTATTACATTGTGATACAAGCTGTTTGTACCCTCAAAAATAAAAAAAATAATGAACTTTATGGTAAATTGGTGTAACGTACAAACTAGATGCGAGCCAAAAAATCGTCTTTAAAACGTCGCACATCTTCCACGGAATGCTCGCACATTCGCGAGACTTCCGCAGCTGCCGTCGGCGTCGCCTGGCGAGTCCGCGGGAAGTGGCGCGAAGGCAGGCGCAGTGTGACGTCAAACATCGACATAATATTAGGGGTTAAATATGAAATTGCCGTTTTATTGCAATAGGTTCTTTGAATTTTCATAGAATCTTCATGGTTTGAGGTTTTCGAATGAAACTTTTTTCAAATGGTTTCTGTGATTTTTTTTTTTAAATTTGAAACATTTGAATATCGACTTTCAATTGTTTTTGTTATTCAATTTAGACAAGAAAGATGGATACTGCGAAAATTCGAGTGATTTTTGAATACGAGTTCCGACGCGGAACTAACGCGGCAGAAACAGCCCGCAATATCAATGCTGCGTTTGGAGAGGGGTCTACTAATGAACGCACCGTGCGTTTTGGTTTAAACGCTTTCGTGATGGAAATTTCGACTTAAAGAACGAGCCACGAGGAAGACCGCCCACACAGGTGAATAACGATGAATTAAGAGAGATAGTGGAAGCCGATCCTAGTCAAACTACCCAAGAATTAGCGGCATGGTTTAACGTTACCTTACCCACAATATTGACTCACTTGCGTCAAATCAATAAAATAAAAAAATACGAAAAATGGGTGCCTCATGATTTGACTGGTCTGCAGAAAGAAACGCGTGTTGAAACTTGTGTTGCCTTGTTGAACCGGTACAGAAATGAAGGAATATTGGATCGAATTGTAACATGTGATGAAAAGTGGATTCTTTATGATAACCGGAAAAGAAAAATGCAATGGCTGACCCCAGGTCAAATGCCACAACAGTGTCCTAAAGCAAAACTTACCAATAAAAAGGTAATGGTAACTGTTTGGTGGTCTCAGCATGGTGTTATTCACTATAGTTTTCTCCGATCTGGTCAAGCAATAACGGCAGATGTCTATTGTGCCGAAC